TTCATTCAACAGGCATTTAGCCAGCTACAGTGCTAGACAAGACACCCAAGGCTTGGGCATATGTGTGATATGAGATATCAGACAGTTAACTTTTTTTTTTTTGAGAAAGCCCTCAAATTTGTTGTATTATTTATTGTACCAGTGAAATAAATTGTAATTCAATAAATATTAAACTGCAAAACAATTTTATAAGCTCCAAGTGTAGGGCATCATCCTCGGATGCGGAAGCTCCACAAAGAACCACACATTTCCCAAAAATCCACAGACCCTGGTCATAGCCAGTCTGCTGACGGTTCTTGAAGGCCATGTCAGGTCAATCAATAGTGTGACAACAACGTCCCTGACTTAGGCAGGAGGTGGCCAATCACAATGAAAAAGGCCAGATATTTAACTTTTTAAAGCTAAAACCTTACTAGCGTTAGTAGACATTTTGTTTGGTCTTCTATATCTTTTATATCATAAACATAAATAAATGCAGAACAGTAACTCCACTTGTATCAGAAAAAGGGTCAACATAGTATTGTCACTTCAAGTAATCTATTCTATAATAGTAACCCAAAATGTGGAAAATCCACCCAGACAAAGATTCACTACAGCATCATTCATAGTGCTTTTTCAAAACTACAGAATGACAATGTCCAGTAACAGATGTGCTCTAATTAAAAAGACATTAAAAACTATACACGCCTCCTATTATCTGTGTAGGTTAAAGACGGATGTTAAATGGAATGTATTTACTCCAACTACATAAACATGTGCACTAAAGATAAGATGGGAGCACAGAATTAGCAGCAGCTGTGTTGAGATGGTTGGCTATGAATGAGTATTTTCTTCTTTACCTATTCAAATTTGAAATAATGTTGATTTTTTTCTTGCCAATATTATCAAAACTTTGCAAAATCTTTAGAAGGGGTGGCTATGACCTGGGATCTAGAAGTCAACCCTTCAACTATAATAAAAATCAAGTTTGAGAGTGATTCACTAAAACCGTGCACAAAGCTCAACTAGTCACCACACGACTGAAGTGATGTTTAACTGTAAAGGCAATGGCTTCACACGCAGCTAGAAAATGGTTTCTTCACTTGGTCTAATCTGGTCCAAACGGAAAGATTTTAGGAATAAGGCAAAAAGACCTTTTCCCGTACCGATCTTTATTCTTTAATTATGTATATATAAAGCAGAAAAAAGATAAGTTCAGATAAAACATCCCCTACACCTTTTCCTCCCACCTGGGAAACAATCCCCCCCGACCCCACCACACACCACACCTACTGAATCAAAGATGATTCACCCACCCAGGACTAAGTATTTGTTTCAATTAGAGGTCTGCTTATTCAGCCTTTAGAAGGGGCCCAGCACTGCGCTTGTTTACTTTGTTAAGTGAAATTGCATTTAGCTATTCTCCGGATCCTTTTACTAGCGTTTCTGATGAATCTAAGAGGATACGTGGAAAAGTTCAAGGAACACGGGCTTTGGAGTCAAAAGGACATGGTTTTAAATCTAAGCATTCTCCTCTATTAGGTGTATGACTGAGGATAAGTTGCATAGTCTAAGTCCAGTTTCCCCATTTGTAAAATGGGATATCACTCACCCCACAGGCTTAAAAATATAAAACATGAAAGCATTAAGCAGTATATCTGGGACACTGAGGAGGATAATTACTCTGTTCATTCATCTCCGTGGTGTCTCTCTCCAGGTGGCTGCTGTGAGGTGCCGCTGAGTCGGTTCCGACTCATAGCGACCTTATGTACGACGGAACCAAACAGCTGACTAGCAGGTATTAGAATAATATTTATGAAATGAACATGTAATAACATGAAAAATCCTTACATGTTAATCAATCCTTACGACATGTTAATAAAAACAGGACACAAAACTGTATCAGAGTATAAATTCCAACACGTAAAAAATACATAAAAACCTCTGATGAATACAAAAAAAACTAAAAGGAATACCTTCTTTTAAGTGAAGATATATGAGACTCAAGTGGGAATATAGATTGATTCTTTAAAAACATTATTTATGTTTTCTAAATTTTAAGCATGAATCACTTTTCAAAGTTACTTAATAAATGATAGTTTTTCTTGTCTTTTTACACATCCGCCTCCTCTTCTGTAAGGAGCCCTCACTGGCTTTGTCCCCGTGGCCCTCTCCCCTACCCCTGCTCCAGCCAGAAGTCCTGCTCTGTTGTCACTGAGGCCTCACACAAAACTGTGGTGGTTCTCTCCTTCTAGCAGGCAGCCATTTTAAAACAGAAGTGAAACACTGACCCAATCACAAAACCTAAATGGCTGCTACAAGAGCCCTAGTCCAGGGGAGGTACTGCCACACAGCAGTGCCAATGAGATGCACTCGGAAAAAGGGACTGACTCTTTTAGTTGAAGGAACTGGTATTGTTCCAGTCTTCTGTTCTTCAAGCAAATAAAAGGAAAGTGTGTGGGGTGGGAGGGGGGAGGTCCAATATACAACACAAGCCAAGGGTTCTAATAAATTCTTCAGTTGTTGAAAGCTGTCCCCAACACAGATGAACCATTTTGAAACAAATCACTGACAAGTGTGGATGTGTAACACAACTCATCAGCACAACTGAAAAATCACCCCCGCACACACATTACTCAGGGGCCCAGAGCTTACTGGGAAGTCTATGAAGTACCACTGGCCCCTGGTGAGGCAGCGGACACAGTCAGCAGCCGGATTTTTTAAGATGTCCTTCCCCCAGATGGAGAAGGAGCTCTAAAACGTGCCCAATCACTGTCTGCATCATGTAAACCAATGTTACCAAATCCTCCATCCTTTGGGACTCGTCTGGTTGCCCACACTCACAAACAGGTAGCAATCAGGTCAGTGAAGTCACAGCCAGTGGTACGGCTTTGCACGAATATCACATCTATCCCGTACCTAAAACAAGACCTTCTGGTTTACCTGGCTCTCCTGAGAGGGCTCTGGAATGAGAGGTGGGCCCTTCAGGGCTAGAAGGCCAGGACAAGAGGTCAGACAGACTCCAGGGACCTAACTGCTAAGCTGCTGCAGCACCTGCTGGGCCAAACGTGAGCCCTGACTTCAAACAGCCTTACTGCTCCCATTCTCACAGTGACGACTGTCACCGTCATTTTCTTTGCCCTCTACACATAAGAACTCCTCTATAAACTTTTCAAAATAAATTTTACTCAAGAGGGTGCATCTCGAGACTGTTATCAAAGCCCCAACAGCATTAAGATCATTTTTTGTTTTGTGAGAAATGAGCTCCAACAAACCCCAACGGCTTAATGCAGGAGGAGAAACCTCACGCAGAGGAGACCAGAGTGGGCACGGCGCCTTACCTGGGTGATGGCCTCTTCATTGTCAGCCAGCCCCAGCAAGAAGATCCGCACTTTGTCGATCTTCACCGGGACCGTTCTCCCTCTCCACAGCACTTCACTCATGGTAGCTGCCTGTTTGGCTCGAGTCTGAGAGATCAGCGCCTGCAAAGTAGTTTTTAAAAATGAAAGCTTGAACTCTGGGCACGAGTGACAGCAGATGAAAATAAGTGGAACCTACTATTTGTTCCTTTCTTTTCTTTTCTTTTAAATAATACTTTACTGTGTTTTCAGTGAAGGTTTACACAGCAGTTTAGGTTCCCATGCAACAATTTCTACCCAAGTTGTTCGGTGACATTGGTTACGTTCTTCACAATGCATCAACATTCTCGTTATCTCTGTTTCCATTCATCTGGTTCCCCTGCCCCTTACGTTCTCATTCTTGTTTTAAGGTAATTGTTGACTGTTTGGTCTCATAGAGGTGATTTTTTTTAAAGGAGCACAGTATTTACAGATGATATTCATTATTTTTTGAGCCAATCTGTTATTCAGCTACAAGGTTTAAGGAGTATCTCAGGGCAATAGTCTCCAGGAGTCCCGGAGTCTCAACCAGTCCAGCAGGTGTGGTTTTTTGGTTTTTTGGTTTTTTTTAGGAATCTGAGGTTCTGTTCCACATTTCCCCCCATTCCATCAGGCGCCATCTACTGTAGCCCTGATTAGAACGGTTAGTATTCGGACTCAGGCACCATCTAGCTCTCCTAGTCTCAGGGTAGATAAGGCTGTGGTTCATGCAGACTGTCCCGTAGACTAGTTTCTTCTTTGAGTCTTTGGTTTCCTTCTTTCTCTTTTGCTCCGGATGAGTAAAGGCCATTAGTTGTACCTTAGATGACCGCTGTCAAGTTTTTAAGATCGTAGATACTACTCACCAAACTAGTACGTAGAACATAAGTTTCTGAACTATATTACCTCAACTGGCCGAGACATCCCAGGAGACTATGATCCTAAGTCTTTCAAACTCAGAAATCCAACCCTGCGAGGTGTCTGGTCACGTCCAAGTATCTGTCTGTGTTCCCTATGTGCTTTGTTATCGTATGAATATATGTACACACAGTCACACAGACGCATGTAAATACACATACAGTAAAACCTGTGAAAGCTGGAACCTGTGTAAGGCGGAAACCTGTCAGAGAAGGAAAATTCAAGTATTCCCCACTAATAAGGAGTGATAGAAAAGTGGTAAGACTGCGCCCTGTCAAAGGCACAAAACTTGTGAAACCTGGAAAAACAAGGCAGTCCCATCAAGTTCTGGCTCTCATAAATTTCACTACACATATGCATCACCTATATGTACATATCTATATATAAAAAAAAAAAAAACCCACTGCTGCTGAGTCTATTTCAACTCATAACGACCTTATAGGACAGAGCAGAACTGCCCCATAGGGTTTCCAAGGCTGCAAACCTTTACAGAAGCAGACTGCCACCTCTTTCTCCCATGGAGTGGCTGGCGTATTCGAACTGCCAACCTTTCGGTTAGCAGCCCAGCACTTTAACCACTGCGCCACCAGGGCTCCTGACATACCTATACTGTCCCTTTATTTTCTATAACCAACATATCATACTTTATAAAGCAGAGTATACACAAATTTATGTTTACTTTAACTTCCTCCTTCACATCACTGATCATGGACACGCAAATGTAAAAAGTACTGCAGAAGCTTAAGAAGCCACATCAAGGTTAGCGAAGGTGTGAGGTCAGCACATCTGTGTACACTGCAAGGAAAAATGTAAATTAGTAAGAAGTTACTTAAAGACGTTTGTCAGTATGTATCAAAAGCTTCCAAAACATGCAATTCCACTTTTAGGGATTTTCTCTAAGGAAGTAAGAATGTGTGCAAAAACTGGGAGCAAGGATGTTCATGGTAATATTGTTTACCACTCAAAATAATCAACAATAGTGAAGCGGTGAAATAAAACAAAGACTTCCAAACAACGGAGGAGTACCACGCAGCCATGAAAAGACAATGGAGTGGAAATACATTTACTGAAATGAAAAAAATACAATGACATTCACTTTCAAAAGCAGATTACTTAACAGTGTAAATTGAGATATTTTTAAAATACGCCTTTTTTCTATCCACAGAAAAGTCTGCAAAATAGTCATCACGTTATTGACTGTGTTACCTCTAGGTGGTAGGAAACACGATTTGATTTTTCTCCCAATTTTCTATATTTCCTCCTTTTTCTAGAATAAGCCTATATTACTTGCTTAGAAGAACACACTCGGCGAGGTAAAAAGGCTGACTACACCACGTGTCTGTCAGCGTGTCGCACTGTGGTGGCTTCATGTTGTTGTGATGCCGGAAGCTAGGCCACCAGTATTTCAAATACCAGCAGGGTCACCCATGGTGGACAGGTTTCAGCAGAACTTCCAGACCAAGACTAGGAAGAAGGACCTGGTACCTCAGTACCACCAAGAAAGAAGAGTCAGGAATGGAGAACATCTTTGGACCCAGGGTTCCCATGCTGAGAAGCTCCTAGACCCAGGGGAAGACTGATGCCAAGACATGAAGAACTCCAAGGAGCGCCGGGCCCACAGATATTGAAAGGAGACAAGGAGCTTCCCCCAGAGCCAACAGAGAGAAAGCCTCCCCCAAGAGCTGGCACCCTGAATTTGGACTTCCAGCCTCCTAAACTATAAAAGAATAAAGTTGTTGTGTTAAAGTCATCCACTTGTGGTGTTTCTATTATAGCAGCACTAGATAACTAAGACAGAATTTGGGGATTGGACAGCTTGCTAATAATGTAAGTGAGGCACTGGCATCCTTGTAGGGGGTGGGACCATGCAAATAAATTGTATGGAACCCCAACGAGGGGACTGGTTAGTTTTGCCATCCTGCTAGGCTTTAAAAGAGCAGTTAATCCCAGAGCAAAAGGGGGGACCTGACTACCACCAAGAAGAGACAGGGGTGGACAGCATCCTTTGGACCTGGGATCCCTGCACTGAGAGCCTCCTAGACCCAGGAGAGAGAGACGAGAGCTGTGACACAGAAGACAGCAAGAGACAGTGAGAAGCAGCAGCAGAGAAATGGCAACAGCAAAAGCAGCTGAACCAGGAGACCAGCAGATGGCACGGTGGGCTGCCCGGTCCACAGAGCAAGAAAGCTGAGTGCCTTCGGGCTGAGGCTTACTGGCAGAGTAGGGTGCCTCTGGGCACTTATCAACAGAGCTAAAAGAGCTTTGTAACACCTGCCCAAGCAGGGTGGAAGGGGCCAGAGAGAGGTGTGCCTATGGGCATGGCTGAGAAGGGGCTGTCCTGATGGAAGAACTGTATCCTGAGCATTCCTGAAGTGTAACCTGTTACTTCCCTAATAAACACCATAATCGTGGATCCACAATCAATGCCCATGAAAACAGCAGTCAAGAGAAATCCAACAACGTACTCCATTGAGCAAATCTGCTGCAAAAGATCTCTTTAAAAAGTGTTAAAAAACAAAGATGTCACCTTGAAGACTAAGGTGCGCCTGACCCAAGCCATGGTATTTTCAATTGCCTCATATGCATGGGAAAGCTGGACAATGGGTAAGGAAGACCGAAGAAGAATTGATGTCTTTGAACTATGGTGTTGGTGAATAATATTGAATATACTATGGATTGCCAGAAGAATGAACAAACCTGTCTTGGACGAAGCACACCCAGAATACTCCTTGGAAATGAAGATGGTGATACTTCATCTCGTGTACTTTGGACATGTTATCAGGAGGGACCAGTCCCTGGAGAAGGACATCATGGTTGGTAAAGCAGAGGGTCAGTGAAAGAGGAAGACCCTCAATGAGATGGACCGACACTGGCTGCAACGATAGGCTCAAACACAGCAATGATTGTGAGGATGGCGCAGGAGCGGGCAGTGTTTTGTTCGGTTGTACGCAGGGTTGCTATGAGTTGAAATCAACCTGATGGCACCTAACAACAATAACATCTTTCTGGACTTTTTCAAAACACGGTAAAAGACCTGTCACAAAAATGTACATACTAGATTACCTCCAGTTTTTCCGCCAGGAGACCCTCAGTACCTCCGGATCGCAGTCTCATCTGCATTAGTTCATTGATGGCTGATTGGTCCCCTGAGAGAGAGAGAGAGAGAGATTCAAGGCTCTGTTCTCTCAAGAACCACTAGGTTCAACTGAGACTTAAAGGAGCTCTTCCCCCTCCACAAGCACATTTAAATGAATCCAGCAGCAGGATTTAGTCTCTGAAAATAAGTACTTTAACAAAGAATGAACCTGGGCAGAGAGAACTGAGACTACTCCTGGGAAGTACAGAAGCTGGCAGGAAGGAATGGAAGCAAAGCAACTGCCTTCTGTAACTCTGAGCAGGGCTGACTCTGACAGTCACGCTTGTGTCATAAAAACCCATGCCAAGAATGGATGCAAAGGAAGGGGAAGAAAGTTAAATAAACTCTCCAGGCTCGCCGAGCCCGAGCTACCACCATCTGCCAATCCTCAAGAAAAGCGCGAGCCTGGGTCCCTGCTCACCAATGTTGTAAGCACAATAGCGTATGTTGGGCGAAATCTCCTCCACACGCTGACTGTACAGCACAGCCTGTTCTTCTGTGAACGCACTGGCCAGCTTCTCGTAGATGGTTCTGTGAGGAGAGAAACGGCAGGTTTCACAGCAGTCTTTTATTTTTAAAAAACACACTCGAGAGGGACAGAGTGGCTGAAAACAAAACTCAGCCCTTTGAGGCTCTTCTACCAATGACCACGACTGGCATGTGTTATGCACTGAATTGTGTCCCCCCCAAAAAATGTGTTATAAATCCTAAGCCCTATACCTGTGGTAGAGCCCTGGCGGCACAGTGGTTAAGAGCTCAGCTACTAACCAGAAGGTCAGTGGTTCAAATTTACCAGCCGCTCCTTGGAAACCCTATGGGGCAGTTCTACTCCGCCCTATAGGGTCACTAGGAGTTGGAATCGACTCGATGGCAATGGTTTTTTATTTTTTTTATACCTGTTGTTATAATCATACCTGGGAGTGGGCTTTGTTATGTTAACGAGACAGTCTTAGTGTAAGGTGTGTCTTAAATCAGTCTCTTTTGAGACATAAGAGACTAACCAAGCAAGTGAGCAAACAAAGACGGGAAAACATGGATGCTGTACCACGTGAAGATGACTACAAAACCAAGGAACAAGAGCCTTCCCCCAGAGCCCTGAATTCGGACTTACAACCTCCTCAACTGTGAGAAAATAAATTTCTGTTTGTTAAAGCCACCCACTTGTGGTATTTCTGATATAGCCACACTAGAGAACTAAGACAGCATGTTCTAACACTAGGAATTGTCCTAACTTTCACAGAAATAAGCCATTAGCTTATCTGCACCTTGAATTTGATGATCAGTAATCAAAACTGGTTACAGCTTTTGGACAGGAGAACTTACTTGCATTTGTTAAAAGCCTCAATAGCAGCTTTCCATTCCTGATGTTCAAAACGCAGCATTCCCGCAAGGTAAGCCGTGTAAGCCTGTAAGGAGACGGAGAAAAGAGAAACGGCTTCAAAATTACAGAACCAGTGCTGGGGCTCACTCTTCCGCTACTTGCTTCTAACTTTGATATCAAGAGTGTAGACATACCCAGGCTGATTTGCAAAGATAAAAACTTATTTGACCAATAAAATGCAATACATAGGTAACGTGTTGTGATTCAGTTTACTTTCCAGAAGAGAACTTCAAAATAAAGAAGTTCTTTTCCTCACTTTACGTAACACTCTACAGTTGAATATAAAATTGCAGTATCCGTCATCTCTTTTTTTCCCCTAGCGTAAACCTTTTCTTGTTTCTTTATAAAAGTGGTCTCATACGATATTTGTCCTTTTGTGATTGACTTACTTTGCTCAGCCTAACATCCTCCAATTTCACCCATGTCACAGAACATCTCACAAAGGCATCTGAGGACATTATCCTCATCTTTTTTTAAAAAATTCATTAAAGCAAGTTCTTTCTCATTTTGTGAACTTTCCCAAGTATAAGACGCAGGTTTTCCATCTACACATTAAAAGATGCACGACCTTTCTTGCAAAGCTAGAGCTAATTATCAAAAACCAAGAGCTCAAAGACAAAAGCAAGAGGCATCAACTTCACCTTTTAAAAGTAAGATCTGAAGTTTTTTTTTTTCCTTCTCCTGACTGTCAATTTATAATGCAAGAAACTCTGTTCTGTTTAACTGTAGTCTCGTGAATTGTTTTTTTTTAAGTCACATTCTCTAAGGGCCACAACAAAGCAAGGCTGGATGTGAAGACACTAGCCTGAGCCTCTAGCTTGGTCTTGGCGTCCACCCGATTGCTCTCACACAAGCGTTCCAGTTCCTCTGCGTGCTTCACGGCTTTGCGTAGGCGAGACAACAAGTGAAACCGCTTTCGGGGTTCGGTGTTGGCTTCCTGTTTGAGCTGCATGGCATAGCTCCAGGCTCTCTCAGCATCCATTAGAATCAACAGCAAGTATCTACACCAAATGGAGACAGGACAATGGGAGAGCTGAACAACAAAGGCCAGGGACATCAGACTCAAATACATTCTCCGAGGAGCAGCCTTCGGCCTCTCAACGTTTCTCTATACTCTCCCTCGGCCCCTCAACGTTTCTCTATACTCTCCCTCGGCCCCTCAACATTTCTCTAAATGCTCCCTCGGCCCCTCAACGTTTCTCTATACCCTCCCTCGGCCCCTCAACGTTTCTCTAAATGCTCCCTCAGCCCCTCAACGTTTCTCTATACTCTCCCTCGGCCCCTCAACGTTTCTCTATACGCTCCCTGGGCCCCTCAACGTTTCTCTATATGCTCCCTCGGCCCCTCAACGTTTCTCTATACTCTCCCTCGGCCCCTCAACGTTTCTCTATACGCTCCCTCGGCCCCTCAACGTTTCTCTATATGCTCCCTCGGCCCCTCAATGTTTCTCTACACGCTCCCTCGGCCTCTCAACGTTTCTCTATACTCTCCCTCTGCCTCTCAACATTCCTCTAAATGCTCCCTCGGCCTCTCAACGTTTCTCTCCTCAACTCTCCCTCACTCCTCCCTTGGGAACTGCTCTTCTCAGTCTCAACCACAACTCTGATCTCAACTCATCCTCTACCTGATTTCTGATCACCTACTCATTGAAAAGCCTGCTACCACCTCAAACTCGGCAAACCCAGACTCCTGACATACTCCTCCCAAATTTTATCAAACAGAGGCCTGGAGTGGCACACAATCTGGCCTCATCTTTGAATCAACACACCCATTATCCCATCCCAGTTAGAAACTGAACCCTTAAGAGGCAGTGGTTGAAGTGGTAAGAGCGAGGGCTCTACTCTGAGAACCATCACTGACTGGCTTTGAGACTCTGGACAAAGTGCTAACCTTTCTGTGCCTCACTCTCCTCACTTACCATACATGTAACATTTTAGAACAGAGCCTGGCACTGGCTGAGGGCTCAGGAAGAGTTAGTTGCTCTATTTTCATTATTATCCTGGTGAATCGTTCTTTAAACTAGCTATTTAATTTTCCTTAAACTTCAGCTTTACCTGTCTCTCCAAGATAAAGGATCTCTCCATCAAAAGAGAGCCCAGACGTTTTAGTTTCTGACGTTTCCTAAGTTCACCTCATCGTATCTAACCTGTACATCCTGCTACTTCCCACCAGGGTCTCCGCGCTGGCTCCTGGCTGTGCCTCCACACACCAGACTCGTGGTTTCCTCAACACCTGAGCAGCAGTGAGCACTGTCCAGAGCTCTACAGTTCCTGGAGTGCATTCAGACATCTGCATAAGCACTTTCCCCAACACAGAATGAATGACCTTTCCTCTCACCAACCACCAAGGTCCAGCCTCCTCCAGGCAGGCTTCCTGGCTTCCCAACCAAGCACACCTAAGCTAAGCACTCCCTTCCAAGACTTCAGAATTCTTAAGAGCAAATGACGCACGATGTGGCACTTTTGCTATCTTGTAGTGTTTCCTGGTTTTACATGTTGACCAGTAAGATCACAGTCAACAGGGTTTAAGAACTTGGCCTCCTACCTCTTTTATATTCAATATGAAGTCTGGTCGGCCCTGGCCACATACTAGACCAGAGGGCAGCAAATTTTTTCTAAGAGTCCAGCAGAAAATAGTTTAGGCTTTGCAGGCCACATGGCTACAACTACTTTGCCACAGTAGTGCAAAAGCAGCACGAACAATGCCTAAACAAATGGGCGTGGCTGTGTTCCAATAAAACTTTATTTATAAAAACAGGTGTCAGGAGGGTCAATTTGGCTTGCAGGCCACAGTTTAAGGAACTAACCTTGAGACCTTCAATACCTGCTGCTTGACAGACTAATCCTTCAGCAAATGTGAAGCACTGCGGTATTTAGCGCTGAAATACAGAACTCTTAAGTAATAACGGTCAGATTTCACAGAGGATTTAGGGGCTTGATTTAAGTACTTAGACCTTGAAGTTTACATTCTAGAACCTTAACTGATTAGCTTCTAATCATTGACTTCAGTATTTACCGTATCACAACAGAGCTTCAACAAGCTACAAAATCTCTTTGACTCACAATTTCCTCATCTTATACTGTATGAACAATAAAAACGGTCATTCCATAGAGTTGCTAAAAGAATCACATGAGAGTTGAACAGGCACAACGTCTGGTGCCTTGGAGTGTTCAATAAACGCGTTAGCAAATTCAGCTGGCACATCGCACTGAGACAGTCAATACCTGTTATCAGTCAGAAGGTCCTCGGTTACTTTCTTCCCTGTGAATTTATGTCTATTCCCCATCTTGAAGTTGAGTGTCTTCCGGAGACGTCTCTGTCTACGAGAACAGTAGCCCCTATAAGAAAGCACAAACAAAAATCATTCGACCAAGCTGACAGTGTTTTAAAACAGTAAATTCTGTAATAAGGCAAGGTCAAAGGTTTGCGGTATTCCACGTATGGTTACTATATATACCGCATGTCGTCTTGCAAACATTTATTGAACAACTAAAACATGCCGGGCAATGACTGGTACTATAGAAACAGAGATACAGGACACAGTACCCATTCTCAAGGAATTCACACTCTAGTTGGGGAGGATCATGCAGATAAAATGGCAACCAAAAAAACAAGGTCAACGTCAAATTGAATAGGAAAATGACACAAGTAGTCAGTCTCTTCTTTTAACACCTGTAGCTGGTCCTTGAAAGAATGAGTCAGATTCTGGTGGAAGAAAAGAAGGCAAAGAGGCGTCCTGAGGGAGAAAGGAACTGCAAGTATATTTGAAGAAAATCAGCGTCCAATTAGGATAACACCAGGAGTACTACAAACATCACCTCTTGTGAGCTACCTCCCTCCTCTGTGCTCCTGCAGCGGCTCTATTATAGTACTCTGCATCATGCTTATGTTCAGACGTATCTGCCCCCCACTAGAGGATAAACCCTGCAGTGCAAGCATGACGTTAGTTTTAAATTTCCCCCAGTGCTTTAGCACAGCGTCAAGCACACACGTTCAATAAATGTATTTTGACTAAATGAGAGTAATAAATACATATAAGGTTTTGTTATTGTTAAGTGCTGTCGAGTCAATTCCGGCTCATAGCGACTCTGTGTACAACGGAATGAAACACTGCTCAGTCCTGTGCCATCCTCACGATCGTTATGCTTGAGCCCACTGCTGCAGCCACTGTGTCAATCCATTTCGTTGAGGGTCTGTCTTCTTTTTTGCTGACCCTCTACTTTACCAAGCATGATGCCTTTCTCCAGGGAGTGATCCCTCCTGATAACACATCCAACGTATGTGAGACGTAGTCTTGCCATCCTTGCTTCCAAGGAGCATTCTGGTTGTACTTCTTCCAAGAAAGATATGCTCGTTTTTTTGGCAGTCCATGGTATATTCAATATTCTTGGCCA